CACCTGGCTTTGGCTAATCACTGTTCTAACTCATCTTTATGCCTGTGCATACACTCTTCCCTCTTCCACCTTCCCTATTCTTTAGTGTCTGACTGATTCATATTCTTCCTTTAGGAGTCAGCTCAGGTGTGACCAGAGAGTCATGTCTTGGAATTGGCCTTCATCCTCCAGTCTTGATTAACTGCTCTAGCTTTCTGTCCCCATAATACTATGTGCTTATCCCACTCTTAGCCTCACACTATAATCCTCTGTTTCCTAGTCTTTCTCTCCCATTGAGTTTCATGAAGGCAGAAACTGTCTTCCTCTGTATTCCTAGTTCATTATACTTAATAAACGTTTAATGAATGAATGGAAACTGACATCAGAAGCTGTTTCTTGGCTTTGGGAAATCTTTGAGTTTAATAGAAGCCATTGAGATACTAATCTACGACTTCTTGTGTGCTGATTACAGTGCTCTTGAGACAAAAATTTGGAAAGTTTACATAGGTCACAAGCCAGCTGCATTAAGGAAACCAAATACAGGCAGACCCTACTTTGGTTTCCCTAAATTTTTTGGTCTGTTCCATTGGCTGTGCTAAAAATAGCATCTTTATTAGTGATGTCTCAATTTGAAAATCGTCTGGGAATATAGCTGCTTTTTGTGCACTCTGCCTGGCAGCAGAGGGTTGGGAGACTCTGGTCTTCTTTTCCCTGAGCCAGTGCAGCCTGCAAAGGAGGTGCTGGATCAGGAGTCCCCTCAGGGGTGTCTCAGGACACATGCCTGTGACGAAGAATGGGGAGTATGTGTGGCAGGCTGAGCTGTGGCTCTTAGAATCACCTGGAGTGTAGGCAGACAGGCCTCGAGTCAAAGTGACTGAACACTCAGTGACAGCAGAAGCCTGCCTCTCCTGCGGCGGGGGGAGGGGGGGGCGGTGGGAGTGGGAGGGAGGGACTAGGGCCCCTAAGTGATCGTCAGTGAGGCTTACATCAGTCAGTGTGCCTGACTGAACTGCACCGTCCAACACAGATTATACTCAAACACATTTTTAGAGTTCCTGTTGCTACTTTTACCACTGATAACAAAGTTTGTAACTGTACAATAGAATGTTGAGACATCCTTTTTGTTAATAGAGATATTAACATCCTTTTTGTTAATAGAGATATTGCTGTATTCCATTTTTTATCTTGAGCCACTCGCCTTCAGTCTTACCTGCTTCCTGTTTCTCCCAGCCCATGGAACCCTGGTATTTTGCCCTATTGACACAGGAGTGCCATCTGTGGCAAAAGAGAATGACTATAGGCTATACATTATGTAGACAATCTGAGGTTGGTTTGTTTGCCATTCTGCTTCCCAGAGCTGCTTCTAGCGATGCAGTGTGGTGAAAGTGAGAGCTGACTATATAGCCGTAGGTGTATGTTCATGGCACAGAGCTGAAAGTTGCCACCATCCTGGTGGTCGGGGCAGCATGCCATCTGGAAACAGACAGGAACAAGGAAAGCCAAGATAAGAAAGCCAGCATTTGCTTTGGACTGTTCATCTGAGTCAAGCTCCTGATTATATTAAAGAAGAGTCATCATGTTCATTAATTTCAAGGCCCTGGGGCGCCATGGGGGACCATGATAACTACTTGAATATTTCATTAGTTATCTGCCAGCCCCATTGAGTTTTAAATGCCAAGAGAAAATTTTACCACTTTTAGTCTTCTTGTCCTTTCATGGCTTTCCCAAACCAGTCTTAAGGTCAGTGTATGTGGAAAATGGCCAGGAATTGACAGGAAAGCCAAGCAGCCATCTGTGCACCACATGGAGATACCAAGTACTGCTAGGACAGAAGAAATGATATAAGCCTTAGATGAGGCTTAAATCAGCCAATGTGCTTGCTTGAACTCCTACAGCGGGGCTTGGCACTGGGAGCAAGGAAAGATCCAAAATAAATAGAAGGCATAGTCTTTGCACATGGTGAGCACATGGTTAAATTGGGCAGACAGTAAATGCACAGATTTAGAAGGAAAAACTCTACAACATAGTGCCACTTGAATGGTTCAGATAATTCAGGGGCCTTTATGTAGCTTGCCAGGAAATAGAAATCAGTGTAACACTGGGATCCGCTTTTGAACCACGACTTCAGTGTGATAGCTTAGCAAAGAAGCAAACCAAAGGACAGTGTGTGCATGTTCTGGGGCAAGTGGCTTTCAGCCACTGCTCTACTCACAGTTGGTAATCATTTAATCAGCAATACTTCTAATCAGAAGGATGGCAAGATAAACGTGTGGTATAAATTCAGTTCAGAATCTGGGCCAAAGCCTATTACCTAAGCTTTAAAGCAAAGTGTCATCTGGAGCTAAAGGAAAGGACACGTGAGCGGGAAACAAGATAAAAACTAGGAGGACTTGGGAAGGTGTAAATTTCTGGAAGTGAAGGCATCAGAACCAGAAGTCTGACTACCACGGATTACCAGAGTTGGTAGGATCTGATCTTACTAGCTGGGTAGGTTTCCCCTCCTGCCTCAGGAATCCTCAGGAATCTGTCTGCCTGGGTGGTTGAGGCAGGAGGGGCCGGCTGGATGGCTAGTGGGTGACTTGGCTGAAGTTGCGCCCTAAAGTTGAGCCAGGCCCTCCCCCTGGGGTGTGAGCCCTCTGGGTCAGGGGCTGGGCTCATCTGTGGAACCTACCCAGAGCACCACGCCTGGCTTATTAGTGAATGTCTGCGGAGGCCTTTGAAGATGAAACACTCCATAAGCACTCATTGTTTCTGTTTTTTGGACAAACTAGTACTTTGGTCTCCAGGGGCCGTTGATCTGGCTCCTTTTTACTAGTCTGGAATTCACTGCAAACTGAGGAGAGTAGGAAACAAATAAACAAACCTAAAATAGTTTTTGAAAAAAACAACTAAACTCCCACCAAACCCTTGTGCTTTATCTTGAAAATAGGATTCTTCCCTATCCACCTTTCACATTCTTGGGTTTGGGCGCACTCTGTCTTGACCTGTTCCTTTGCCTGTTGGGTTTGTGGTGTGCATATGCGTACCTCTGGTTCCCAGACTGTGGAGAACGCCAGCAGCTGGCATATGGTGATTGCTGAATAAGCTGCTGCTGACGCATTGGCTCCCGCAGGCACAGAGAACTGACTGGCATGGGTGATTCTGAACCCCTGTTTCATTGTTGTTTCAAAGATTCATTTCTGTGGCTGTCCTGAGCCATCCAGATGGGAGAGAAGAGAAGAAATGAATGACTCTATGATTCTGTCAGTCTGGGGCAGTGGGCAAAGTGGGCAGATAGGCATTTTGTACTTTTGTAGTGTTCTAACTGCTCCCTTCATTTCCGCGAATGATGTATCAGGTGGAAGCGGTTTAACCTCAATGAGGTGCTAGCAAGGTCAGTAGAGACCTTGTGAGCTAATTCAGTTATCCAGCTGCTGTGTGCCAGGCACTAGTCAAGGCACCAGGAACACAGCAGGAAACAAAATAGATAAGGAGCTGACATTATAGTAGGAGGAGAAAAACAGTCCAGAAGGAAACAAATACAGAACGTGTCAGATGGTGATAAATTCATGAGGAAAAAGTGGAATAATGGGTTAGAGAAGTGTGTGTGTGTGTGTGTGTGTGTGTGTGTGTGTGATATAGGTGGTTGTGGAAGGCCTCTTTGATAAAGGGACGGTGTGTGTGTGTGTGTGTGTGTGTGTGTGTGTGTTTGTGTGTGTGTGTGATATAGGTGGTTGTGGAAGGCCTCTTTGATAAAGGGACGGTGTGTGTGTGTGTGTGTGTGTGTGTGTGTGTGATATAGGTGGTTGTGGAAGGCCTCTTTGATAAAGGGACGGTCGAACAGACGCCTGAAGGAAGCGAGGGAGGGCTCCATGAAGGCTGTCTGGGAGATGAACCTCCCAGGCAGATTGAAGACAGGGACAAATGCTTTGAGACAGGAGAGCGCTGGGGACCTGAAGTGGAGTACGCACAGGGGAGAGTAGTAGGAGAGCTGATGAGAGAAGCGGGGTGCAGGCTGCGTCAGGCTTTGTAGGCCACGTATGGCTTTGGGTTTTACAGAAAAGGAGATACGGAGCCCAGAGAGGGTTTTGAACAGAGGAGCAACATGACCTGGTTTTGGTTTTAAAATCAGTCTGGCTGCTCTGTGGAGAATAGACTGAAGAGGGTTGGAGCCGAAGCAGAGAATGAGCTGACTGCCTCATTGCAGGTAACCATGTGGAGCAGCTGTCCTGGGAGGGAGCCCAGGACCTGCCTGGCTGAGGAATGAGGGGGAGCCTCTCCACACCCCGCCTCCCAGCTCTTAGCTCACTGTTGTATGCACAGAGTATGGCTTTAGCAGCTGGTAGTTCACAGAGTGGAAAGGATCAGCTTTTCTTAGGAGTGCTGTTTCTTAATTCTTTCTGGTTAATTTTGGTGTGTAGAAGGAAAGTGTAGAAACACAGGAAGGGAAGAAGCAGAATCTCTTGATTAGGGCTGAGAGCATAAACCTTGGGAACCAGACAAGCCTGAACCTTGTCAGGAGTCACAGAGAGCCACTCCTTATTCCACTCCCTCCTCTCCCACCTTTTCCAGAAGTCTCAGGGCAAGGTTGGGGGAAGGAGGGGCATTAATGATCTCCCTATGCTTTGGGATATAGTAGAGAATGTCAGGACTGAAGGGACTTTAGCAATCATCTAGTTCAGCCTCCTCCGTTTACAGGTGCAGATAAGAACAGGTGAAATAACCCATCCAGAGTTACCTGGGTAGACTGCTGGCAGAAGCAGGGGCCCTGAGTGTTCCTGCTCTGTCTCTGCTCCCAGAGGCGCAGGATCTCAGTGGGCCTTGATCTTCATGGTACTCTCAGGCTCTCAGTTTGTCAGAAAGGAACTCCAGCCATGTCTTTGGCCAGTCCCATTAGCATGAAATCCTGACAAGCAGATGGTGGTAGTGAGTTTGCATTTCTTTGCCTAGGATCAAGTCCTCCATACCAGGGTCCAGGCCTGAACCAGACTGCCACTGCCCCCACTGCACCCTCCTGTCCTCAGAAAGTGACTGCTGTGATCATGGGTAACATCTTTGGAAACCTTCTCAAGAGCCTGATTGGGAAGAAGGAGATGCGCATCCTGATGGTGGGCCTGGATGCTGCAGGAAAGACCACCATCCTGTACAAGCTGAAACTGGGCGAGATCGTCACCACCATCCCCACCATTGGTAAGGGCAAAGCTCAGATGGAGGCTCTCATGCCCACCACTGAGCCAGATAGGGTGCCTATTCCTGGATCTCCCACCTGGCCACCAGGCAAGTCCTTATAGTCTGTGGGGTTCAGGGAACAGTGGTTATTTAGCTTCCTAGCAGGTGCTGGGCCTGCTGTTTGCACACCTACCCTGGCCCTCTCTGATGCGGGAACTTCCGCAGCCTGGCACCCACCAGTGGCCCTCAGGCACTGAGCTGGTTTGTTCTCTGTTGTTTGAAAAGCAGGTGAAGAGCTTTGATGTTCCTGCCAGAGGCCTGGAATTGCTTCAGTTTAGATCCTCGGTGGCCCTGATCCCAGTTAAGACCTGCCTCTGGGAGGGAGAGCATTTGCCTCGTGGAAGCAGCTCTAGATCACCATCATCAGCTGGTTCTGCTTTTGGGGCTCCGGGACTGTCACTCCCTTCTTGTTCTCCATTCTGCCTCACAGGCCCCACTTCTCAGCTGAGGCCGACTTGGTGGCCCAGGGACAGGAGTGGGGCTGAGTCATTTCTTTTGCAGGAGAGAGAGTCAAAAACTGAGAGTGAGTGGGGAAGGTTGTCTCACCGGGGCATTTGGGAACCTCCTGACTGGCCCTCTTCGTCCTCTTCTGCTGCTTCTCTTAAGTTTTCTTTTTGGCCTTAATGCTGCTAAGTCAGGGAATGCCAGGTCTGTCTGAGGAAGCCTTTCTTTTCTTTGCTAGGCCTGGGGAAACAGAAATAACCCAATGGGGCATCGTTTGCAGGCCTGGTATTTCTGGCCAAGTGACCACTGTCTGTTTTTTCCCCAAAGGGTTCAATGTGGAGACAGTGGAGTACAAGAACATCAGCTTCACAGTTTGGGATGTGGGTGGCCAGGACAAGATTCGGCCTCTCTGGAGACACTACTTCCAGAACACCCAAGGTAGGGCGTGTGAATTGCCCCCGGACTGGCGCGGGTTGGTTGGGTGTGAGCAGAGGGTGGCTATTCTCGGTTATCAGGCGCCAGCTCTTGCCCTGCCACGGCTCCTAGGGGTGGGAGGCAGGAGAAGAGGGACCAGATACTTGAAGGGTATAAGGAGGGTGTTTTCTCTTTTCGGTGGGGGAGGGGAGTTGATCTGTCGTCTCTGTGCAGCCCATGCTCTGCCTCCCCAGGGTTGATATTTGTGGTCGACAGCAATGATCGAGAGCGAGTAAATGAGGCCCGGGAGGAGCTGATGAGGATGCTGGCAGAGGATGAGCTCCGGGATGCTGTGCTCCTTGTCTTTGCAAACAAACAGGTGTGACATCTCCCTGCCTCTGCGTTTGAGAGAGGGCAGTCTGGCCATGGAAGTTAAGGGATCTTGGAGCCCATTGTGTGGTAAACCCTATGACTAGGCTCTCAATTTGGAAAGTAAGAAATATGATTAGCTGGCTTCTTTATGCTGCTCTTCTTGTCCCTTCCCCATCCCAGCTTTACTTAGCAGTGTTTCTGTCCAGAGGGACTGGTGTGGTGGATCCTTTACCTCCAGACCCTTTGTTACCTCACCTGTTGTCTGCTTTAGTGGAGCAGCCCTCTTTCTTAGAGTCAGACAGACTTGACTGTCAGCTCATCTCAATCACTTCTCCACTTCCCTACCAACCCCATATTTGGTTTCCAGCTCCTCAGTGGAGTGACCTTTAGTGCCTTGGATCTGGAGTTCTAGGATGATTAAATCCAAAGTGGCTCTTTAGGATCTTGCTCTGGGTTCCTCCACTGAAGAAGGAGGAGAGGGTGCTGGTATACCTGCCTTTGCTAGGTGGGTTCTCTAGAAGCTTCTGCAAGATCTGAGGCTCCTTTTTGTGTCTCCCTTGTGCTCCAGGATTTGCCTAATGCCATGAATGCTGCTGAGATCACAGACAAGTTGGGTCTGCATTCCCTGCGCCACCGCAACTGGTACATTCAGGCCACCTGTGCCACCAGTGGGGACGGGCTGTACGAAGGCCTGGACTGGCTGGCCAATCAGCTCAAAAACAAGAAGTGAGAGCCAGACAGCCCTATCCGACCACCCCATCCACCCCTACCGTCTCCCTGACCCAGCCCTCCCCTTTTCCTTCCTGTTGCCAGTGCGGCCAGAGCCCTGGGTATCATGTCCGCATGCCCAGCAACAGCCTTGCTTCCCCTGTCCTCCCCTCCCCCCTCCATGACCAGTCCCCAGTTGCTGTCCTGATGATGAATCATTCCAATTTACTGGATTTAAAACAAAAAACAAGGTTGTTATGGTTTCATGGGGTGGGCCCCCCTCAAGCCCTGGGGCTTGGGAGGTGGGATGGGGTGTTCCCTCCGGTTTGCTTCGTTTGGCCCTAGTTACTGTGCTCTTGGCATCTGAGCCCCTTCCCTCTCCCCACAGGCCCCTCTCCCCTTCCCCGTCTTCCGTTCCTTTGCCGCTCTCCCCCTGTTCTACATGGAAATTGCACGGGCCTCTCTATGTGTGCGTGCATGTGTGCGCGTGTATATACCTGTATAGAGAGATATATATGGGGGCCAAGGAGCGGGTAGAGGAGGTGGGTGCAGCTCAGGGCTGGGAGCCAGGACACTGCCCACTCTCATCTATCAGCTGCTCCTCCCATGCTGGTGAGATAAAGGGAAGGAGGTGGAGGGGAGGCTGCCCCACTCCCGTGCAGGTGCCTCTCCACTGCAGGTAGGTTTTCCTGGATGACAGGGCAGATGATGGCTTCTCTGCCACCATCTTCCTCTATCCCTCTCTCCACCCCACTCAGGTCAGGGGGGTGGCATTTGTCTCTAGATGACTGTTCCCAAGGAGATGCCATTCTGCCCTGCCTTTTTGTGGAAGGAGAGAGGAACCCACTCACTCTTTATCAGCTCAGAGTGTTCAGCTGATCCTCCCCCTCATCCTTAGATCTGTTCCTCGGAGCTGGAGCAGGGAGGTAGGGATAGCAAGTCCATGGGTTGTATTTGGGACCCAGGGCACTGGGGAGAGGGGCTCAGGTTTTCCGTCTTCCTCCTCTTTTGTTATTAGGAGAAGATGAAACACAGATCAGTTTCCCTATTCCTGCCTTCCTACCCCTTCCGTCTTCTGATCTTGGGCCTGGGTGGTTCACCTGTCCTTTGTCAGAAGTTTCCTCACCCTGGTAGTTCTGCTGGCCTTACCAGAGCCGGCTGGCTGGTTTACTGAGGAGCAAGGGAGTGGGGGTGGCACAACAGACCTCAGCATCAAGCCGCCTCTTCTCCATTTTTATCTAGTCCAGGGTGTGCTGAAAGATGAAAATTTTCTGTTTCCAGACCCTTAGACCATCCTGCTGTCCCTCCCCACTCCATCCCAACAGCCTTTCCCTGCCCTCTCCACCCACTTCCCATAAATGGATCTGGGCATTGGAATGGAGGAAATCGGGCTCCGAAGTGATTGTTGGTGCTGATGGGATGCAGCGGCCTTCCGAGTCCTCCCTCCATTATTATGTAGTTGTTCAGAAGCTGCTGCTACTGTGTCTCTGTCTATAGGAGGCACTTGGCCCTGAGATCCTGGCCTGGGTTCCTGACTTCAGCGGTTTCTGTGAAGCCGTGGCTTTTCTGTGGGCTCCTGTGTGTGCTGGCTGCGCCCTGAGCTCCAAGATGGCCGCCCATAGCCTTTTTGCTAATGTCAGGGCCCAGGGCCTCCATAGCATGGCTGAGGGACCCCTTCCCAGAGGGGTTGTCCCAAGCCCCACCCCATGGGGCCAGGCTTCCTGCCACCTTTGTCTACAACAGGCGGATCAGTACCCCCTACCCCACGTCAGATTGAACTGTGAAAGAGAGGTTCCAGGGGTGTCTCCCTCAGTGCCAGCTCCTCAGTGATGTGTTAATTATCCAAGATGCAGTGGGTGTATGCAGGTCTCTTGCGCTCTAGGCCTTTGTGTGTATGCGTGCGTCTGTGTGGTTGGTGGCAGGGTGGGGGGCGGGGTTGCTGGAGCTTCTGATTCACTTTTAACATGAATTCACTCCGCTGACCCCACAGATGCTTCCCTCATACTTCTGCTTTGCCTTTGTCTGTGTTTGTCAGATTTTTTTTGTTCCTGCTCCTGTCGTCTCTGCCTCCCTGAACTCTTCCTTTGCCTTCTCACCTGCTTCACTGCTGATGCCTGTTTGTCTCCCTTTTCCTGGGAAAATTTCCTTAGAATTGCTCACTCTGTATCGTTGTGGTTGGTGAGGACTTTGCCTCCTCTCCCGTCTCACTCCCTCTCTGACCCTGCCTACTTAGATGTCAGTCCCAAATGGGTTTTTCTCATTTTAGACCTACCCCCCACCTTGGTTTGGGGGCCTTCAGGGACTGGTGGGGCTGAGGGTGTTAGGAAACAGTCTTGGAGGTTGCCTGGGTGCTGCTCAAGGATCTGTCCAGCAGGGGGCAGTAAATGATCTTGTTAGTATCCCAGGCTGCTAGGCCCTCGGCAGGGGCGGTCCTTTCTACATTCCCATTCACCCCAAAAATGCTTTTGGAATTGGGTGTTTCATTCCGCTTCTACCCACTCCCTCCCCTACTTTCCTCTGGTAGGTTTAATTTTTTGCTTTCCTTTGTTCCAGCCTTTCTTCTCCCTGGGAATTTCCCCTGTCCCCCCCTAAAAGTTTGTTTGTGGTGTTATAGTGGTAACTGCAGTTCTGAACTGGTTTTTCTCTTCTTTTTTTCTCCTCTGGAATGTAGACTGTATATGTTTAATAACTCACCTTCTCTCTCCTTGCTCAAAATGTGGGATACGCGATGACTGTGACCCTGGTTGGAAATTAAACTTGTTTTATGCAGCTTTGGAGCAGACCTTCATCCTTGATGTGCAGCAGCTGTGGCACAGAGTTTACTGGTGAGGGTTGTTCTGCTTCTGGTCCCACTCTCCAGACTGCTCTTTGTTTCAGCAGAGGGATAAAGGGTTCTCTGGATTGGGGAGAGTGAAGTGATGGAGGTTCATCTCCACACTGCTTATTGTTTCCCATCATACCCCAAAGGGGAGCTGAAATGAATTGCGGCCCAGAGTTTGAGGTCTTCATGACTTTGCCCCTTAAGTTGTAAAGGGTTTAACCCTGAACTTAGCCATGTTGATCATCTTCTAGTAGATGTTAGGGACTCCAACAGAGGGCCCTAATGCCTCACACAGCCCCCACTGTCCCTCACACAGCCCCCACTGTGCCTCAAGTGTTTCTAGGTGGAACAGGGTCCCCTCATCCATAGGTTGGCATCTGCTCACCCATCTGGTTTTGGACTTTGGCACTGAGTCTGGTGAAGGGTAAAGGTCTGAGTGGTATAATGAACTTGATCCTCCTTACAGCTCATGGCCCTGCATCGCCTCTGCTTTAGTGTCTGGTTCCCCATCGTCAGGAGGCCAGACCTCATCCAGAGATAATGTTTGAGGAAAAAGACAAACCTTGTCCTTCCACCCAATTCCCACCACTACTCTTTTCCTCTCCTGCTGCTACTCAGGCAAAGAAAGGGATGGTGCTACCCTTTCTTGGTGAGGTCTGGGTGAGCCAGGCAGGTGTTCCCCACTCTTACCACTTTCCTAGGCTTTAAGGCCAGAGGCCTTCCCAACTTGATGCTATGGAAAAGGCACAGGATTTAGGCATGTAATAAGTTTGAGAGCCCCAAATTATTCTTTGTATTCAGCTAACTCCCTGCTGCCTCCCCTGGCAATTTTCCTTTTCAGCCCCTCTCTTGCTATTAAAATAAGCCATCGTGGTTAAGGACCAGTGCATCTGCCCTTATGAAACCACAATCAGACATTGCTTCATTACTACTTCAATCAGACATTGCTTTATTAACCCCATAAGCTTTGAACACTACCCACACAACCTCAAAACCAGGTAATGCTTTCCTCCTCCTGGGCTCCTCAGAAGTCCTGCTTGGTGACCGAGGTTGCTAATAAGTTAGGAGCACTTGCCCAAGTCCATTATTTGTTTACTAACAAATAGATAACTTCTAGTTACAGCCTAGATACAGCCCTGCATAAGATAATGATAATGGAGAAGACTTTAGCTGGATGGCAGGCCGGTGGGGGTCTTTTGACCTCTGACAACTTGGGGAGAGGATGGTTTAGTCCCTGTGTCCCTCAGTAGTCCACAATGCCAGGAAAGGGGGGACGCTCTCTTGTGACAGTTGCTTGAAACTTCTAGCTTTTGGGGGATGGAGGAGGACGTGGGGAGATGAAAGGGAGATTTAACCTGGAAGGTGAATGTTTAGCATCCAGCTCTTAAGCTCTTATCTTCCCAGAACATGAATAGCTCCTCATTCATGGCTTGGCCTAGGATATACTTCAGGATAATCTGGGTAAGGGAGCTTCTGAAGTGAGCCTAGAGAAAGCTAGTGGAAAGCTTTGGATTGGGCCAGGTGGGATGTAGTCAGTGACAGGCAGGATAAGTGTGAGTGGGTATGACTTTCTCAGACTGGAGGTATAAGGTCTGAAAGCTCTGGGAAGTCACCACATTGTCTCCAGTACTTAGATTGGTCAGAGCAGACAACTGACAGGTATTTATTCTGTACCTTCTTGTTTCCAGATCTGTGCTAAGAGTGGAGTTAAACCATGGTACTGAGGGAGAGACCAGGAAGTCTGTTCCTAGGCTGCTCTGGAATCCTTTGGGATAATCACAGAGTACCATATGGGGTAGTGAGTGTTGGGGAGTCACTGTGTAGAAGGGATACCCCCTTGCCGCTGCTTGGAGCAGGGAGCGGTGTCTCTGTGCAGGCAGTCATAATACTAAGAACAGTCTCTTTTCCAGCTCCGAAGGGTGTGGAGGTAGAAGGGTCAAAGTCCAATTCCCTACTTTTTTTTTTTTTTTTTAACCTGGTAACGAGGTTTAGAGAATCAGGCTGGTCACTGGGGAGTCAAGGGATCCAAGTGCCTTTTTTCCTCTGCAGGCTTTTCATTCAAATTAGGTTTCCTGGCCTTGACTACTGGGAAGGGTAAGGATGACCCTGAGTTCCTGAGCCAGGGAAGAAAGGGTTAGGTGTGAGGAAATATGAGCCTTGACTGATAGAGGGTGCAGTGCTGCCGAAAGGCCACAGTGGAG